CAAACAAACAAACAAACAATTGTGCAGACGAAGATGGTGTATCAAATGATCGTTTGTTTCACACTTAAACTCTATCGTACGATTATGGTTTATCGACATCAGAAAGTTCACGCCTAGATCGAATATTGCTTCTATACCTAAATACTAAAATATCACAGAATTATGGTTCATCAACATCAGAAAGTTCACGCCTAGATCGAATATTGCTTCTATACCTAAATACTAAAATATCACAGAATTATGGTTCATCAACATCAGAAAGTTCACACCAAGGTCTTTGAGATAATATCATTCTGATAAGATTAAAATAAAAACAATTTGTCTAGCGATTCTGGTGACCTTTACAACAATTACTTAAACTTTTTTGTTATCATATGTTCCAAAATTTGTCTAGGTGACAATGCATACTTTCTTGTATGTGTGTTGCACCAACATAGTGACAACGTTTTTGCCGGGACAGTCCCGGTTTTTAGTAGTTTGTCCCAGTGTCCCGAGAAAAGTTCTCGAGACGCAGTCCTGGCTTTATGATAAAAACATCAAACTATCTGTCACATCGAATCAAGAATGTAATAGGCCTACTTGATTAACTCGTTATTGTAACACGTACTCTCCTGCCGCCAAACTATCTAGAAAGTGGTAAAAAAACCCAGATCTGCGTAGGTTTTTTGTGAGTACTAGTGTAGTAGACCTAAAGCAGTTGGTGGATGTGTGGTGGACGATTAAACGTCAGTACTGTTCAATAAAATATTTTTATTATTGAAAATATTTAACTTATCATGGGATCAAAATGCCGAAAAGAAAGTTGTTGTTTTTTCAGATACTTTGAAAGCAGGCTTGCCTTATTCCTAAAGGCAAGTGAGTTGGATAACAATCAGAGATTTGGAGACAAATTAAAAGTTGAAAGACCCAAGGTTTATTTGACCGAGCAAAGCGAGGGAATGTGCGCCATAGGAACAGCCATTATGGCCGGGGTCCAAGGCTCGCCTTAGGACCCTGGATGCTTTTGTAATTTTCTGAATTATAATGCGTTCCTACGTCGCTGTCAAAGTCGAATGCACTGCTTGCAAAGCTATGTTTTTGATAGCACACGGTGGAAAATCGGACATTAAGTATCACACTGCAAAGAAAAAGAACAAGGACCATTTTGAAATTAGGGGCAAGGACTGGGCTGTTCTGGTTTGGAAATTTGGTCACTCTACATCGATATGTCATAATTCTTTTAACTGTTTCTTTTTGTGAGTTTTCAAACAAACTGCATTGTTCTGTAATATAGATATCTATTTATCGTTCTTTACAATTATTCCTTATAACTTTGGACGATAGATGTCAATGCCGTATCAGATATTAAACATCAAGATTATTATGGAATTAAAGGAGAATGTTGTTGAGTTTTGAGAATGAAACTGTTAAGAAAAGTTAGAGAAGGATAACACGAATGTTAAAATTCTTAAATAACTGAAAAAGTAGTTGTCAGATTACAAACTGTCAAGAAGTAAACATAAACTCTCACTAGGTAATAATTTAATCAAGTGCAAGAAGTAAACACATGCTTACTAATATGATGATTATCAGATAATTAACCTATTTGAAATGTTTTGTCAATCAGAAAGAAAAGCTCGAGCAACCAGATAGCAGGGCCTGGCATGACCAGGTGGTTAGGGCGCTCGACTCGCAATCTGAGGGTCGCGGGTTCGAATCCCCGTCGCACCCAACATGCTCGCCCTTTCAGCCGTGGGGGCGTTATAATGTGACGGTCAATCCCACTATTCGTTGGTAAAAGAGTAGCCCAAGAGTTGT